CTGCGAAGTACCGGGCACCAAGGATGTTCTAATTAAACATCATTATGTAATTATGATCATTTCCCAGCCCAGGGGGGTGAGATAATTACTGCTGCGCCAGAAAACACAGAAACTGGCCCCAAGCAAGGGACTAGGCTCTGTCAGCACAGGAGCCAATTGGGGGTTGGGAGGCTCGGGCACCTCTCTGGAAAACTCCCTCAAGACCCAAAGGTCACACCTAGCTGAACCCCATCATGGGGCACTGAATGGGCAGGCTTGTTTTGGCTGGAGCCCAGGGACTTAGGATAACCCAGTCACTTGCTTACTGAGGACTCCCCCTAAACTCAATAAGTGAGGTCACCTTCACTGGGACCCTCCCATGGTGGGATTCAGCTCTAGGTAAGGGAATGGGTAGGGTTAATCCTCTGCCTGTACTCGAAGACAGGCAGCTGGTCCAGAAGATGAGCATCTAGTTTCCAATCCAGCAGCGGGCCCATCCCCTCATCTTTCAGGGTGGCCTCAAGATGACCTGAACTGAGGGCTAGAGCCAAGTACGTCAGGGAGGTTCAGGGGGCAAAGGGTCAAAAGATCAGGCGAGATCAGGCTGAAGCTTGGCGTTCCAGAAACTCAGCTCAGCCTTGTGACACCCTGAGGGAGGTTCAGTCCCCTGGGTCTCCATTTCCCTGTGGGGAAGGAGCGGGCCATCTGCCTGACTTCCTGCTCAGAGCAGGACCCAACAAACACAGCACACACAGCAGGAATGCGTGCAACAGTTGTTTTACCTTGTATTATTGCAATGCTTCTGGAAGAATGTAGTTAAACCACAGCTCTGACTCTGAAACAAAATGTTCCAGATGCAAACCAGTCTCCCAAGTAGGCATGGTGGTTGACACAGCAGACCTAGCATCAGAGGAAGGTGGAGGGGCTGTCTTCCTGCTTTTCCCCCACGGGCAGCTCTGCTGGCATCCTGGAGCCCACACAATGGTGACGGTCAGCAGGGATCTGCTCAGAGCAAGTCTGGGGCGTTGAGCCATGCCAGGGCCTGAGCAGACAAGGCTGGGCAACCAGAGCCTCCGGATATTTTGACGGCGATTACCAAGGCTGCTGTGACTGCATTATCACTGCACAAGGAACATTCCAGAGCCATTTGCCTGGTGTCTGTACAACACTCAGTGTCCCAGCAGTCCAGGAATCCCACTGACTCACCATGCTTGCATCTGCCTACTGGCACTTCCAGCCTCCACAGGTCCCTCTGACACCCAGGAAACTTCACTGAATGAGTCAGTCACAGGTCCAATCAATGCTGGTAGACAGCATTGTATAGTCAGAGGCCGGTGTCCACAACTTCCCTCCCACCCTGCCACCCCCGGCCCACCAGCCAGTGATGTCTAGCCCTCAACTGGTCTCAAGGCTTTGTTACCACAACTTGAATCTGGGGCTTGGGCAGTGGGCCCTGAGGGCTGGTCCACACCAGCCTCCTCCTTAATACTCCTGAATGTACCCAGCTTCACCACCCACTTCAACCCAGGCCTGGTTTGATGGTCTGATAGAGGAATGGGAATGGAAGCCAGTTTACGGAGCCAGAACTGAGGGTGGGGTGGTGCTGGGGGTAGTGCCTCTAAGGGTGGTCTGCATCTTCCCCTAGATACTGAGTTAGGTGCCAGGGAAGTATAGCTACAGTCCTAAGGGGCCAAGTGAAGGCAAGACCGGGCAGTGTTCTATGTGTGCCTCAGACCTTACCCACTCATCCATGTAATAATGTGCCACTGAGTATGGTCACCAGGTGTCCAGCAAAACAGAAGACAAAAGTGGGAGTGTCCTTTCTTCCTGGAGAAAGGTGAATCACCTATGCACACGAAGACGCTCCCAAGCTGGAGGGCAAGAGCAAGGCGGAAACTGTGGGACAGTGCAAGGGGTCTCACCTTTAAGCTGGGCAGCCAAAACCCTTATAGAGCCATGACACTGAGCATATCTCAGGAAGGAAGTATGTCATGATGAGTCAGTCCACCCAGAACTCCAGCCCCCAGGTCCAGTTCTGAGTTGTGAGCCAATCTCTCCTCAGTATCCTGAGCATCCCCTCCACACCCCCAGACAAAGGCACTCAACTCTGTCTGCGAATGTTAACACACCTGGGAACTTTTCAGAATCCTGAAGAGCAGACCACACCCTCTAGACTAGCTCCCTGATTTGCTGGTGGGCCCAGGAACCAGGATTAGAGCTCCCCAGGTGGTCCCACCATCTGCCATCCTAGTGAGCCCCAGCATCATCCACTAAGACCCAGCCTATGGCGAGGCCATGTGCAGAGTTGGTGCCTACTCTGGACCCTTGCCTCACCCTCACTCTGACAGTGTCGTGTTCGTGTCCCTGACACGCCGCAGTAATGTACTACAGAAGGTAGAGCAGATGCACCCATCACCCTGCACCTCCAGAGTGAATATTCAAGTTGCCTGGTGAGGAGTGCCTCATGCCAGCCAAGGCTGCCACTCTGCAAAGGGTGAACTGGGGTTGGAGGAGCTGCAGCATGGGCAGGATGGGTGCAAATGACTCCCAGATCAGAGCCCAGAGGGTTTGAAGGCCTTTAGTTGGGACTACGGAAGGAAAGCGGGCTTGGGGAAAGGTAGGGTTAGCTGCTGCTGCACTGTGGATGAAGGGATTTCAGAAGTTTAGCCAGTGCTGAGAGGTGATAAAGGAGTCTGGTGGTGCTGTAGGTTAAGCTGCTAACTGTAAGGTTCAAATCCATCAGCCAGGAGAAAAGAGGCTGTCTATTCCTGAAATCTCAGAAACCCTAAGGTACAGTTCTATCCTGTTCTATTGGGTCCCCAACTCAATGCAGTGACTGCATTTGGTTTGTCCGGGTTCTCAGCACTCTGCACAGCCTGAAGGTGGAGAGGCATCCTGCTCAGGGACAGAGGAAGTCTGGGGCCTGGAACCACTAGAGGAGGGGGTCAGGGAGCCCTGTGCCTCTACCCTAGATATTTCCATGTTGGTCCCTCCTTCTCTCTCTGCTCCTTCGGCCTACAGGCTGACCGTCCCTGGCTGGATGCTGCTCAGTGCCAAGGATGTGTCAGGAGAAAGCCTGAAAGTCATGTGCCTAGCGGGTGCCAGGGAAATACAGGCTGAGAACTCCACCCTGCTACCATGGGCCCAAGGTGCATCAGGCCGAAGATTCCTGCCTCTGCAGAAGGCCACTGTCCTGCATAGACCCGACCTCCTCATGGGTGCCCTGAAAGGCTTGTATCTATTTACCTTCGGATCAGAAAAAGGAACTGTGAGCTTCAGGGTTTAAAGAACATGGATACCAGTCAACTGTGTGAGTCACTTCTTTATTACTGAGAGTCAAAATCAACTCGACAGCAACTAAACACCACCCATGTTCATTCTGACACTGGAAACTCATGTGTGCACTGGTCCTGGGACAGCCAGGTTCTGAGCTACAGGTAGTGCCCTGGACCATGTCCCCACATAGAGGACACATGGGTTTGCTCATTTGGGGCAGCATAGGAGTCTGGCTGACATGGGCACTCGGTGATGTCATGAAGAATGAATGCACTCACTCAAGGACCCACTTCCACAGCGACACCATGGCCCCTGGTCACTGCCACTGCACAGCAGCAGCCAGCTGCTGGACGCCAACTCTGAGGCTTTATTCTTTGAAGGGTGCAGGGGGGTTCCTCATATGCAGTGGCTCGTCTGGCAACATACTGGGTCAGTCCAACATAGCCCCTGACCTTCTTTCTCAAGTCACTCCATGCCCTCTTCCTGGTCTGCCACCATCTGCTCTCCTGAGTCAGATCCCCAGGTGAGGCTCTGGTCTAGGCAGGAGTCAGAGGGCTGGGTGGAGGTGCCATTCCTGCAGCCCAGGGCAGGGAGAGGGTGAGAATGCGGGGGCAGGGAGTGAACATGAGGGCACGGCAGCCTCATCAGACCAGAGTCCTCTGACAGGAAGCTGCATGGGCTTTCTCTAGAAACTGCACAAATACATATTCACTGTGAAAAACTGAGAGCCCACCCCACAGCCCCGCTGCCCAGGCATCCTTCCATACTGTTTTTTCAAAACGATTGTCTGTGACAGATTCTGCTTCATTTCTCTTCATCAAATAGGACCCCTCTGCTCATGACTGTGTGTTGACATCATCTGGGGGTGCCTACTGAATGTGCCACCCACCTCTTACTGAGGGACCCGGGCTCTGGGACCCACTGTGTCAGATGCTATCTTGAGACATCCACCGGATCTGCCAGCACTGTCTGTTCTGGTCCAGGAAAGTAGTCGGGGTGGGGCCATGCTCTGACTCTGCATTCCCACCTGTACCTGTGACCCGCATCTACAGGGGGCACTTGAGGGCAAGGGGAGGGGAGGGCAGAGCTAACCCACCTACCTCAAGACACCTGGCAGTCCAGACACAGCCAGCACTATTAACACAGATGAAAACTCACAAAAGGTGGGGTGCGGGTGCTCATCCCTGGCATCATCGCAGCCATCTGTTTAGGATCCCCCACAGGCCACAGCTGGTGCTGTGGGGAGCCCTGGCACCCCCCCAGTAGGATGGAGCCAGAGAGGCTGTGCACAGCACACACACACTCTCTGTGGCCAAGATTCAGTGTGATGCTAGGGCACAGCTGGGGGGGACCTGGCCGACCTCAGGTCTGGGACATCCAGCCTCCTGTCCATTAGTCGATATCTGTAGCCCTGAGTCTCCAGGACTTAACAGCAAACAGGGGCCCGCTCACTGCCATCATGGTAGCAAGAGGTAGCACATGTTGGCAGAGGCATCATCTGCCAGCGGTGGACTGGGCACTGTTCCAGGGGAGGAACGGAAAGCAGCCCTGGGAAGTGCAGGAAGGAGCCATCCACTGCCCAGGCCAGAAGTACTTTATTCTCCATCCCTCACACCCACTGTTGTCCTCCCTAACACCCCAGCAAGAGAACAAGAGCAGGGAGGGTGCCCCAGCTGCAGGAGCTGGCCGAGTGCCTGGCCCTCACTGGGCTCTGTGAAGCACTGTGTCCGAGGGGGTCCAGGCCATCAGAGCTGGCTGCTGCTGCTGGCTTCCAGTTGCATCTGTTGGGCCAGCCGCTGCCCGATGGCCTGCAGGGGGCTGGCTTGGTAGGCTGGGCTGGCCAGCAGTGCCTGGAACCGGGCCCTTTCTTCCTCACTGAAAGACCAAGACCCAAAGATTACCCCCACAGTAACTCAGGACCCCAGGCCCTTCGGCAGAGTCCGGGAACTGAGCATGACAGTCCTGAGACCCAGATCTGCTCACCTTCCTGGAGTGAAGGGTGAGGGGGCATTCTTGGTTCAGAAGGAGAGCCTTAGGACCACCAAAGGGCAGAGCAGACCACGCTGGTCCAGGGGGCTTATCTCAGGACTATACTGGGCAGGGCAGGGGCTTGGAAAGGACAATGGCCTCAAATGGGGACAGGGACAGAGAGAAACAGGAGGTGAGAAGGAAGGCAGATGAGGCTGTGAGACCCGGCTGTTTCTGTGATGGCTTCCAGGGGATGTGAATTCCAGCTTTGCTAGACTGAGTGAGGCTGAACCCCAGCAACCCTGACTCCCTTGGGGTTTATGGGAATCTGGGCTCACACTGTAGGATCCACTGGACAGGAACCCTCTGGAGCCACATGGCCTAGAAAAGATATGTACAGGAGACACAGCCACACTGGAAGGGCAGACACAGGAGGGCTTAGCTTCCACAAGTACAGAAATTTTATCCCTCATTCCCAAACCTGACTCTGCTTGCATAGAACTCATGCTAACCCCTCTGACTCAAGGCAAGCTGGGCTTTTCCACTCCACTTTAAGCCCATGTCATGCCCAGACTGGCCTTGGCCAAGTGGCCAGCTCCTATTGCCCTCATCAGCGGAGAGGACAGGACTGGGGGCTCATCTGCTCTGGCTGAGGCTAGCAGCCCTGATGACGAGGCAGAGCGCACCCAGTCTCTGGAGCATGGTGAGATTAGTGCAGAACGCTACCTTCTCTGTGCTCTTGGGGAGGTGGGTGCTAAGCTCTACTGAGGACCTGGTTCACTCAGACCCCTAAATCCCTGCCATGGACTGCTAGGTACCAGGGGTATGAACAAGGTTTCAAAACAGAGGAGGAAATACACAGCTTCTTGTTTCTCCTGTCAGAAGCTGCTCAAGAGCAACAAGAAACCAAAATCTGTATCTGATGAAGCAGGAGACACAGGAATCCTTAACTGCTACCAAATGTAGTGTCAGTCACTAGGGACACAGAAGAGGGCGGTCTATGGTGCAGACCACAGAGAAAGCTGCCAGTAAACAGCACAGCAAGAGACAGACCTACGAGAGAAAGTGCACTGTGCCCTAAGGACCAGGCTGGGGACCAAGGAGAGGTGGGGCAGGGGGTGGCAAAGAGAGGACTTGCAGAGGTATGCTCTGGATGCTAAAGGCATCTATGCATGACAGGGAGGCCAAAGGTTTTACTCACACAACCCTGGGCCACTCAGAGCATTGATACCTCGGCTCTTTCTACACACAAATGTCCTTCTAATGGCTGGTGGAGGGGAAACTCACTTCATTCATAAAGAAACAAGCATAAAATCTTTATCAAGATACCAAAAACTCAGTCCAAAAAGTACACAGAGTAAGAATGAATGACAGATATAGAAGACAAAACACCTAAATAACTGGTGTCTCCAAATAAGAAGCAAAATAATAGTGTAGAAGGAATACTTGAAGATATAAATTCAGTAAAAATTTTCAAATACAGTAATAAAGATTTGAGTCTATAAATTGCAAGGCTACAATGGGCCCCAGTAAAAATTGACTATGAGCTGTTGTTAAGTGCCTTCAAGTCAGTTCTGACTTTTTAACAATCCAGTGTAGGGTTTCTGAGGTGCAGCTGGTGGTTTTGAACTGCCGACCTTGCAGTTTATCAGCAAGTGCTTATCCTACAATGCCATACTAGGACTCCAAAATTGATATTGTTGTTGTTGTTATGTGCCGTGGAGTCGGTTCCGACTCATAGTGACCCTGCACAGGGTGTAAATCTTCACGGGAGCAGAAAGCCTCATCTTTCTCCCATGGAACAGCTGGTAGTTTAGAACTGCTGACCCTGAGGTTAGCAGCCCGATTTGTAACCATTATGCTACCAGAGCTTAAGAATACAATATCCTTGCAGAGTTACCTGAATGGCAAAGAAAAAAAGATCCTCTAGACAGCACCAAAAAGATGAGCTATCTCACAGGGGCCTAAAACTCAAGATTACTCAGATTCCTCCAGACTCTCTGCAACAAAAACTGACACCCAGCTTAAGAAAGAACCTATTAAAGTGTGACCTAGGCAGAGAGCAGGACCCTACCCAGAGAAGCAGTGATGCCTGAAATAGAGCCAGAGATGATGACGTTGAGCGATGGAGCAGCTGGAGACTTTAGATCCAGAGAGGGAGAGCAACTGTGTGCTGAAGACCTGGGGGGCACGGGGGAAGGATTGCATGGAGGGGACTGTAACCATGGCAATGAGACGATATATGATAGAATGAATGTAAAACCAATGTTCTCCCATGTAAACTATCACATAATTCACAATAAAACATTAAAAAAATAATAAAAAAATAAAGTGTGACCCAGGAATTTTGTATCCAAGATGATATTTGGGTACAAATCTCCACAAACAAATGTTTTGAACATGTTAAGCTCCTATGGGCCTTCCAGCAGGAAAGAGAGGGAGAGTCCTAGCCAGGTCTAGGACTGCTGATGAGGACTGGCCCTGCCTACTGGTCCAGCTCACAGAACCCAGTATTCACACACCTCCTGTCCACAACAGCCTGGGTCACAACCAACCAGGGTGGAGTAGAAGGACAGAGAAGGAGCATTTTCTCTGAGGGAGGTGCGACAATCCCCTGGAAGCCTTCTGTTCAGCAGCTGGCCAGACACTGGGGGCTGCCAGTGGGCCACCTGGAATCAGATTTGCAAGCCAAGCGGAAAATCCAATGTGCAGTTGAGAGTGAGCGGGCACCCCTTAATGAGGCCTGGGGAGAGAGGCATGGGGCCCAGCCAGGTTCATACTCACAGGAGCTGAAGCCTCTGTGTGGCGCTCATCCGGCTGAGCTCAGTGGGTCTGGGCTTGCTGGTCGCCCTGCTGTGAACAGAGAGAAGGACAGTCAGTCAGGCAAGTGTTCCATCTGAACACTACCCCCGAGACGCCAGCTCCTCCTCTCAGAGCTGAGGCTGAAGCCATCTTGAGGCTTGTCATGACTGGGACCAGATGAATCAGACAACTTTAAGTCGTCTGACCTGGTGTGCCAGGTAAAGTCACTTCACAGTGGATTAGTGGAGGCCCACAGTATCTAGAATGCATCTCAAACTCTTGCTGCTCCCTGGGAATAAGCAGACCCAAATACACACACCACACAGGGAATGCTTCCATTCCACCCAACTTTAGTGACCGAATTGCTTGTCCTATAGGGGTTCCATGTGGGCCCTGTGTTCCCTGTTCCTCCTTTGAGACAAGGAGACTAGAAGTCAAGGTAAAAACTGATGACGAATGGCAGACTTTTAACAGCAAAAAGCGAAACTGTCAGCCCAAGAGCATAAGTAGATGCCACCTGGGAGGAGACATGGCCATTAGGAGGGAGGGAAGGGCAAGAGAATCTGCTCAGAGCTCCTCAAACCAATGCCTAAATTTAGCCTCCAGACCTGGTAATTTATTCATGTTACTTTTTGAAATATGAATGTAAGAAATGTCATGTGCACCCAAAATAACCACACAGCCCCACTTTTCTTTAGCCCTCATTCCCAGTCTTTATCTGGGGAAGGGCTCACTTGAGTTCCTGACTCCTTCTGTGCCCTTTCTAGGTCAACCCGATCCCCGTATCTCACAACCCTCTGCTCACTTGAGCTCAGGACTCTCATTCCGGAGTTCTCATCAGGGGCAGAAAGTCATCTCGTGTAGGGCCATTCACACCAATGCTGACCTTTAACAAATATCAAATGTACAGATGATCTCTACCAGTCGTGATCTGGAGCAGAGTTGGAGGGGATGGAGTGGGGACCTCCATGGTCCCAGTCTGTGAACTGGTCCATCAGAACTCATCATGCAGGGTGGTTTGGGGAGGCACTGAGCCTGGAGCCCCCACAGAACTTTCTTCCCCTCCAGGGGAGCCTGAACCTTTCCTAGGCAGAGGCGGTAGCAGCGTGTCTCATCCACTGAGGTTCCTGTGGCAGAAGTCAGTGGAAGGCAATGAGAGCAGCTTCTCCAGGAGTGGTCACACTCCAGTTCTCAGGACTGAGGGTCTCACACTGTGGGTAGGCACGGCACTCTCAGTCTTGGGATCTCATCCTAGTCAGGCAGTGGGGCAGAGGCCCACAGTCCCTGGGCAGACCCCTCGTCATGTACCTCAGAGGAGCTCGTGCTCTCTAGCAGCTGTTTCTGACCTTGTGCTTAATTTCTGGAGCCCCCCTGTCCCTGGGTTGAGCACCCATACAAGTACCATCCATGAGCTCTCCCCTTTTTCTTAGGACTATACTTGTCAGGAAAGTACAGGTCAGTTTTCAAACCCACCACCCCGGGTGCCAGTAGGACTGCACATAGGAGTCTTCTTGAGGACAGTGGGATCAGGGTCTGTCACCCCAGAAAGAAAACTTTGCATTCTGCCAGTGACCGCCTCACCCCCAGTCTGAGGCCAGGTGACGGTTCTGGCGCTGCTTGCCAGGTGATAAGAGCATAGGGGCAGGTGAAGGCCTTAATCTGACTCCATCATAAAGAAGCTTTTGCAAAAGTGCAGTCAAATTATGGAAATGAGGCTAAAGGAACTGCACATAAGCACTGTGTTCTTGTTGCTAAAGTCACACATCCTATGGGGCACAAGTTAACAGTTCCGATTCTGGACCACTATAACGATTTAGTCTTGGGAACATGATCTAGGATCCCTATGAATCAAAATCCACTCAGTAGAAGTGGGTTTGCCTAGCAGCCTATCACGTGTATAATAGTATTATGACGCCTGAAATAATGGGGAGAATCACCACATGTGTCACAGACACATGAAGTGAGCACATGGCTGCTGGACGAGTCAGTTCTGGTTCATCGAGTTTCCAAGGAGCAGCTGGTGAGTTTGAACTGCTGACCTTGTGGTTAGCAGTCCAGTACTGACCCTACAGCGCCAGACCAAGAGTCCTCACAGTATGGGAGCCAGAGTTCACAATAATGACGAGTCTTCTGAAGGGATGTGAGGAAAATGGCACTTCACCTCTGTGATCTTCTTCTCCAAACTTCCTCACTTCAGTCTAATCATGATAAAAACCTCACACAAATTCCCAGTTGAGAGGAATCCTACAAAGTTCCTGACCAGCACACCTCAAAAAGGTCAAGGCCATCCAAAACAAGGAACCGTCTAAGAAACTGCCACAATCAAGTAGAGTCTCTGCATACATGACTAAATGCCATGAGGTCACAGAATTGAGAAGATAATCAGTGAAAAACTGAGGCTGGTGTTGTTAGGTGCCTCTGAGTAGATTCAGACTCATAGTGAGCCAAATAGCATTTCCTAAGCTATGAATCTTTACTTGAGCAGAAAGCCCCATCTTTCCCCTGCAGAGAGGCTGGAAGGTTGGAACGGCTGACCTGTGACTAGCAGTCCTGTGCTTACCCCACAGTGCCAGAAGTGCTACTTTGAAAAACTGAAGAAATGGGAATAATATAGCACAGGGTTCAGTGAATTGCTACTTTAAGCTTCTTTACATATCAATCTTGGTTCACTCCTGTGCCACCACTGGGTGAAGGGCGTAGAGGAACTCTCTGCATGATGTTGGCAATTTTGCTGTAAATATTAAACTACTATAAAATAAAAAGTTTCTTAGACCAAGCAAATCAATCACCTAGTAGCTTCCCCAGCACTGAGGAGCATGCAAGGGGAGACCGGTGGTCCCAGGGCATCTTGGGGAGTTCTTGGTGACTCACCACACCCAGAACTAGAGTTCGAGACCAGATTGGGGCTACCCCTAGCCTGACCTGAGACAGTGTGAGCAACCACGGACCAGAGTCCCAGCATTCATGCACATTCCAGCCTCGGTGCTCGCTGACCGAGGTGTTTATGCAGCTCTATCCCATGGGAGCCAGAAGACAGTTTTCAGATGAGAAAACTGAAAACCACATTTGTGCACTTGACCAGGGTCACATTTTTGTTTGAGGACCCGGAATGGAATTTGCATCTCAAGCTCGAGTTCAGCTGTCAATCTCGACGCAGTGTGGTCACTCTTCCTCATACAGGCCAATGTTCTGGGTGCTTCCAACAGAGAGCCTCTTTTCCGGTCTGAGGGTGGGTGGGAGTCACTCACCCTTGCAGGGCACACAGGCAGCAGACTGGGCTGACCTTGGTCCTTGGGCTTCAGCCTGGGTGTACGGCGGCGGGGAGAGGGGACGGCGCGGTGGAACAGGCAGTTACTTTCAGCCATTGAGAGGATTTCTCAAAAGGCAAAATTAGATTTGGCAACAATATATGTTCAAGAGGTCCAAATATGGATCAAAATAGAGTCCCCCACCCCCTTACCCCCAGGCTGTCTGGCATTTTCCTAGAAAGCTGAGGTCTGAGCCCATACCTGGCTGAGGCCCATCCCTCAAAGGTCAGGCCCCACGGCACTGCCCTTTATGGAGACAGACCAGTCCAGGAGAGGCTTTCTACAAAACAGAAGGCACTGGTATACGGGGTTTCTGGGTTCTGCTGCTGCTGCTCCGTGCTGTCAAGTCTGTTCTGACTCACAGCAACCGGTATAATAGGGTTTCCAAGGCTATACATCCTTATAGGAGCAGAAAGCTTCATCTTTCTTCCTAGAAGCAGCTGGTGGAATTAAACTGCTGGCCTTGCAGTTAGCAACCAGAGCACAACCCACTATGCTACTAGGGGTCCCTGGATTCAGAAGGCAAAAGTGTTGGTGTGTTGGTGCAGGTCACCAGAGCTATCACAATGTCTAAGGCCAAGCCAAGCTGTGGCTCTCATTCACCTGGTAAAGGTGACTCCCATGAGAAAGGCCCAACTCACTTTTGACTAGGGTAATAGCTTGCTCACTTGGCCCCTCCCCTCCATATCCAGTTCTCAATACAAGTAAAGGGAACATGCTGGTGTGTTCAGATCTCCCCAGGCTTGGCAGTTGGAAAAGTACAGCGACAGATGTCAACTTTTCATTCCAAGACATTTTAAGAATTAATCAGGGATAGACTCTGGGCAAAGCAGTGCGCACACCTCCATGAAAGGAAGGAAACCTGAGCACAGACCCCCCAGGAGCCCAAAGGGACAGCTGCAGACACACTGGTCACCATCCCATCCTAGTGGGGGAACATGACTGGGCCCTGTCCTCTATCCTAAGTCCATCTATTTATCAAGTCTCTAAGCTACACAGGCAGTGAAGCCCTCTGCCCACAGAGGAAGAGGAAGAGCCCCCGGGTGGAAGGTGTGTGCATGGCCAGAGAAGGGAGACAAGCTGTCTCATTGGGGAAATGCATGTGGGTCTCGGCAGAGCCAGCAGGTATCTAGGAGCACTAGGCCCAGGAAGTGTACCTAAGGTCACCAGCAGGAACCACCAGGAGCTACACGGCAGACAGCCAAGGTCCAGGGTGACTGTGCCCAATCATCAGAGGACATGGAAGGAACAGAGTCAGTCCTGCTTACCAGTGGTGGGCTGAGCACTCTCCACACATCCTGCCTAGTGCCTTATGTGACAGAGCCACCACAGGCCTCCTGACTCCTGAGAGCTAGTGGCTGCCGGGATCAGTGGAAGGAGACTGACAATCTGACTGGAACCAGCCTCCATGAGGTCGGCACAGCCAGGCCTTGGCTGTTTCCTCCCCTTCTGGGCATGGCTTGGCCACTGTAAGACCTGTGGAGGAGCAGCCAGTCTGGACCTGACTCCTGCTGAGCAAAACTGTGCTGGGGCATCATACCCACCTCCTGGGGTGCCGTGAGCCAGCGCCACTCTCTAGCTCCGCCAGCTCGGGTAGGGCCTCCATTAGCGGGCGCAGGTCCCCCACCACCACTGTGGCCCTCCGCCGCTGTGCCTCCAAGCGCTTCTTCTCAGCCAGTTTGATGGCTTCTATCTCTGGGGTGAGGGCAGAAGAGAAAGGAGTCAGAGAACAGAAACATATGACTTGCACTCACTAAGGCCCCATCAGAGGTAGGTTGTAAAGCCCAGGACAGTCACTATGCCAAGCAAGTGAGGGTAACAGTTATCCCCTCCCTGTTCTGTATGAAGCCCAACATTGGCCCTCCTTCCTCTGATGCTGGCTGCCACCATGAATCTGCTGGAATCAGGCCATCTCGCTCTCCTTTCCTGTTGCCACCTACATCCCCGCCCCTGGAAACCTGGGAGGCGGCCGGCTCCGAGTTATTTTTTCCCTTAATCACAGAGCTCGGCACGAGTTTTAATTACAGGGTTGGTCATGAGACCAGAACTATAAGTAGTGAGGATTTTTCCTTTTGAAAAGAAAGGCTGGCATAGTGGTCTGGACACGTGGGTTAGGCAGAGGGAGGCACAAAGAAATTGGAAAAAAGACAAAACGCAGAAAGCAGGGTCTTGACTTTTGTCGGCAAGTCACTTGTAGGGAGAGCCATGGTAGGAGAGAAGCCTAGATGAGGGAGTGAACCCCACACTTTGGGGATCATGTGAAGAGCAAGGTGGTGAGGCCCCAAAGCAAAGTGAGGGTCATACACGTGGGGCGATGTGAGGTTGCACCCAAGAAGGGCCTGGAGCCTGGAACTGGACTGGAGCAGAGCCTTGGGACTTAATTAGTGTTTATAAATGTATCTAGCCTTCAAAATTGCTCATAAAGTCCATATGCTCTAACACGGCCTTCATGCTCTCTGGTCTCAGACCAACCTTCCTCCTCCAGGGTAATACCAAGATGGCATGAGGCAGCATCCAAACATGGCCAGAAGGTAGCACAGGAGGCTGTAGACGGTAGCTCAGCAACACAGCAGGTCCATGTACAATGACTGAGCTGTGTGCAGTCACTGCAGGTGGGGACAGCAGCTGCACTCCTGGACTGAGGTGCAGAGACAATGAAAATGCATGGATGGCATTTGGAGAACTCACCAGAAGGGACAGACAGGACATAGGATCAGAACAGGATGGCACTGATGACCCCATGTCAGAGGCAGGATGGCAGCGACTAGAGGAGCTAACTGTGTAACAGCAAAACTCAACATAACCATCAAAGCTCCCAGGTCATGTGCTGCCTGTGTGCCAGACATCAGGAGCCCAGGCCCCTAGCCAGCTACCTGGAGCACCAAGCACTGCCAATCAAAAGGTTTGTAACAAGTGTTGAGCAGGCATGGTCCAGAAACTGATTTCCAAAAATAAACAACTGTTGTTTATTATTTTCATGTACAGGAAAGAGCACCCTACACATTTTACAAAGTCTGGTGGCCCCCTCAACAGGCTTTGTCACAAGCCCCTCTGTCCGCTCCTGGGCTCATCTGGGTTCCATGTCTCTGAGTGTGTGGGGTGGGACTGACCCACCATCCTAGCATTGGTTTGGCGGCATGCAACTCTGATTGCCCACCAGGAGGGTGGCTTGTCATGGCTAAGCCCCCAGTGCACAATGCCAAAAATAATGGCTAAGGGAGTGCTTGCCCAGCAAACTAAAAAGTAATGGTACAAAAATGAGGGAGGAGAAAGTTCCTTCTAGTTTTGGAGCAAGAGCAGATGGGGAGGATCTACAGGGCAGTGGATTCATGGCAATGCAGGCTTGGCATGGACCTGCTCCCTGGGGGTGTACTGCAGGGAGGCCCCACGGCTGCCCTGCCCTCCTAGTCTAAACTAGCTGGTGGTAGGTGCAGTCATGAACACATCCCACAGTGAAGGGGCACTGGATATACATAATAGTCAATCGTACTTTTATATATACAGCGAAACTACATTAACACTACTGACAGATATTAAAGAAAGCTTTTTCTTGAATAGAGAGGTTCCAAGTTCATGAATTTGAAGACTCCACGTTAATGTTCTTGAATCTATGGATCAATATAATCCAAATTCCTCTCACTAGCTGTGTTTGGGGGGTTTTTTTTGGTGGCTGTTGCTGTAAAGAAATTGACAAGCTAATGGTAAAAAATTTATAACATCCATATAAAAACCATACAACTATGGTTATTAAATATCAACTACACTAAAATATGGAGCTCTGGTAGTGTAGTGGTTAGGAGTTGGGCTGCTAACCTCAAGGTCAGCAGTTTGAAACTACCAGCTGTTTCATGGGAGAAAGATGAGGCCTTCTGCTCCTGTAAAGATTTACAGCCTTGGAAACCCTAAACAGGGTCACTATGAGTCAGAACTGACTCCACAGCACATCACACCACCACACTAAAATAGGAGTCTTGTGTGGCACTGGTCCAAGCTCACCAGCCTCTCCTAGGAAACCCTATACAAAGTCACTATGGGTTGGAACTGACTTAACGGCACTTAACAACAACAACGAAAACTGTAATATAATCAAGACAGTATGGTACTTGCATAAAATAAAGTACAACAAACAGAAAAGAAGCAAACTCAGAACTCAAGAGGCCATTTAATTTGATAAAAGCAAAACAATCCAGACAAGAAAGAAAATGGTTTTACAACAGATGGGGTTAGGACAAGTGAATATTAGCCACACTTGAAAAAAAAAGACCCTTAGCCAATACCTGTGGTGTGGCTGCCAATGAATCAATGTGACTGCCCCTGCTTTGTTACAGAGTAGAACAGCTCCATAGGGGTTTTGCGGGTGCCTTGGTGGCACTATAGGATAGGTAGTGGGCTGCTAACCACAAAGTCAGCAGTTCAAACCCACCAACCGTTTCTCTGGAGAAAGATGAGGTTTACTGTTCCCGTAAAGGTGTGCAGCCCTGGAAACCCTATAAAATACAGCTATGACCTTTGGTTGTTTAAATTATTATATTATATATTCCTGAGTATTTTTGTGTACATAGCCCCACCCACCCCCCAAAAAAAGAAAAACAGAGGGAATGGAAACAAATACTGTTGAATGATACACAGAGGAGATTGTGATCATTGCAATGCAACGATGGTGTAAATCCCATGGATGTTCTTCCTTGTAAACTATTACTCAGTTCACACATACAAAAGAAAGAAGGGAGACCATGTTTCTCATTTTTGAATAGAATCACTTCTAAAATGATGCCAAAGAAAAGTGATGACAGTGACTGTGTCAAAGGAGAAGGTGAGATGGGGCCAACCTCAGAAGGAGATCTACATCATGGACTCTTAAGCAGAGGGTGACAAAATCTAACCCAGGTTATATGCTTGGTTTTTGTTTTGTTTTTAAGTAGAATTGGTGACATCTCTTCCCTGAATGTTTGGTAGAACTCACCAGTGAAGCCATCTGGACCTGGACTTCTTTTGGTTGGGAGTTTTTTGATGACTCAATCAATTTCTTCTTTTGTTATGGGTCTGTTCAAGTTTTCTACATCACTCTGTGTAAGTTTAGGTAGTTCGTATTTTTCTAAAACTGTATCCATCTCTTCTAACTTTTCAAATTTGTTGGAGTACAACTCTTCAAAGTATTCTGTTTATTATCCTTTTGATTTCCTTTGGTTCTGTTGTGACATCACCCATGTGGTTTCTGATGTGTGTTGTGTCTTCTTCCTCTTTTCTTAAGTTTGCTAATGGTTTGCCAATTTTATTAATCCTTTCAAAGAACCAGCTTCTTGTTCTGTTGATTCTTTCTAGAGCTCTGGTAGCGTAGTGGTTCCGAATCGGGCTGCAAACTGCAAGGTCAGCAAATTGAAACTACCAGCTGCTCCATGGGAGAAAGATGAGACTTTCTGCTACCGTAAAGATTTACAGCCTCAGAAGCCCTGTTCAGGGTCCCTGTGGGTTGGAACTGACTCGATGGTGCTTAAAAACAACATCTCATTTATTTCTGCTCTAATCTTTATTATTTCTTTTCTTTTGGTGACTGTAGGTTCCCTCTGTTGGTCTGTTTCTAATTGTTGTAGATGCTGTGTTAATGTGTTAATTTTGGTTCTTTCTCCTTTTTGCATGTGTGCATTTATTGCAATAAATTGTCCTCTCAGCGCCGCTTTTGCCGTGTCCCAAAGATTTTGGTATGTTGTGTTTTCATTCTCATTTGTTTCTAGGAACTTTGTGAGTTCACGTTTAATTTCTTCAACTACCCAGTCACTTTTCACCAGGGTGTTAATTAGTTTCCATATATTCGACTTTATCCCAGGTTATACCTTAATGATATAATGAACCCTCGTTTACTCTTAAAAGTAACAAACATCATACAGGTTTGTATGATGTATTATATAGTCAACCTACTTATGTACCTTGTGAATTCACCATTATATGACTGTATTACCACTTCAAAAACATTTTTTTAAATGGCGTACCTATGGATACTAATGCAAAAAACAAAACAAAAGAAATTATGGCTATGAATCAGAATCAGCTTGATGACAGTGGGCTTGGCTTGGTAGCAGACTGTCAGACCTTTTCTACTGCAGTGCCTCTTGGTTAATAGTCAAGTGCAACCTATTTAAACTGTTTGGGGATCTCATACCATAAACAACATTAAATCAAGATCTAAGCTAAATTTATAAAGTTTTAGAAAAACCCCCATAGGATAATAGCTTCCTGACTTAGAATTAGATAAAGTTTTCTGCGGTGCAGTGGGTTTCTTTTTATACAGTTTTCCTGGGCCTGGGTTTGTAATTCTCCCAAAATGATTGGTTGAGTCACAGTCTAGCAATATTATCCACATAAGAGGTTAACAAATCAAAGTTATGGTCTACTTAAATGATTGGTAGGTTTCTGAAAGCCCTGCCCTAAAATTGACAAGAAGTGCCCAGTCTCACAGAGGTTTGGCCAGTCTCACAGAGGTTTTAGGGAGCTTCTTGATGGAGAGTCAGAGAACATATCCTTCACACCTGCGGTTCCTGCATGGAGAACCTCCTACACCCAAATACAAGGAGACTCACCAAAATTCGTGGAAAAATGGAATTTTCCTATGAACTTTTTGAAGCCCCCTTGTGAACAGCTGTAATGTGGATGGGTCAAGCACTGTAACACAGAAGACGAAGAGAGAAAGCTGTTGGTGG